CGAGCGGTTTCTTGTCGTTTCAGTCTGGTATGAGGATTCCAAGTTAGACGTTTGTCCAAGGTGTCGGATTTGTTCAACAGGAATAAGTGGGGTATTATTAAAGGATACTGTGGGACATGAGGTCATAGGTTTACAACATAAACATTAAATTCATATTAAATGTTGTTCAAAATGATTTGGGCTGTTGATAGATTAGATAGAATACAAATATGGACTTTTATCCTAACTGTATAAAAACTATTGGCAATATAAGAATTAATACTATTTGGAATTAGTATTGGGAACTCTCAATAACATTTATCAGTTTGTAAGAAGCTTTCGCAGAGTACTCATCATTATGCCTTTATATACGGTTTTTGCAATGGTAATGCTAATGCTGAACGTCGTGAATATGTCAAGCGATTTTCGAATAGAAGATTACCAAACAAGTCTATCTTTAGCTCCACGATTCAACGTCTTAGAGAAACTGGTACATTTGCTATAATACCACGTGTTGATGGTATTTTTGCCCCTTTAATTTGTCAACAACAGTCCAAATCATTTTGAACAACATTTAACATGGATTTAATGTTTATGTTTAATCAATAAAATAGTTGGAACAAATAAATAAGTTTTATTTACTTAATATAACGTAAATAATTCATAACGATGAAAATCTTTAGGTTTGTATACCTCCTAAACAAAACGTTTGCGGACATACCTTCAGAGGAAACTTTTTTCTTGTTTTGAGGTTCTTAATTCATATTTTCAGTTTGGCCATTTAGCTCTGAAACACTCTTGACACGTATACATATATCTGAAACTTTATATATAAGAAAGAATTATTTATAAGAGGAAAATGAAAATACGTGTTAATTGGGGCGATCTGGTTTCAGGGCACTAACACATATAAGTCAAGGAATTATAAAGAACTGCACACAGAAACTGTTCAATCTAATGATATGAAAGCAAGGATTTCATAAATGGTAGGAAGAAAATTGTATACTCAGTCTACTTCTTGGGACGAACCAGAGACCGCCGTGCACATGGGAGGACGCCGAACAAAAGAAAGGCAGAAGATGGCTAACTGGAGGATTAAAAGTGAAGACTGCGTGAACAACAGTAAATGTAAATATGAATGGTTTATTTACAGTAGTGAGTTTTGTGAAGACATAAGTAACATTTTATTTTCTGTGAACAAGGCCTATTTGATATCCCTCAAAACATTTATTCCTGTTTACTGGACAATGTACAGAAGACTAACAGACTTTTTGACTTCTAAAACGAACAGAGATATACTCCATAATTTAATCATTAACTCCTGTATAATGACTCTGGGGTTGATGCCATTATAAAACCAAATAATAAAAAACCCGATACATAATATACAGAACAGTATGGAAACAACAACAGTGGTGCTTTAGACCACACGATAAATGTGAAACAAGGCGAGATTAATAATATGAAATTTTTTTTAATTTTTTAAAAATTATTTTAATGGAATTTACAACTGTATTACATAGAAAATACAATAAGTAAATGTGATATTGGTAACATGAAATGTACAACATGAAGAGAAACTACCAATTGGTAGAAATCAAATTAAAGTTCTATATTAGAAGATCCCGAGCAACTGTATTATATAAATACATCTAGAATATAATGACATGAAAACACTTGCTGAGTGTTAGTGTCATAGTGTATCCGATGGTAGCACCCTAAGGATATGTCTACAATAGGAGATCACGGGGCCATCTTCTTTTCAGACACCGCGGAGGGTTATCAGGGATCGAGGAGGAAGCAAGGTTTGAAACGAGTGGATTCGAATGGTTCTGCAGTTTGTTAAGGAAGGATAGGTATCTGGATTGGGCTAAATGAGAAACATATGGAACATTAAGGTCTTTATGGATGATTTTATTTGTGACAAAGTAAGGAGCGTTGAGAATTTTACGAAGGATTTTGGATTGTAAGGATTAGATACGAGAGGAATTCGATGGTTTAGTGGAGCCCCAAAGCTCAATTCCGTAAGTCCAAATAGGTCTTATTATTGTCATATATAAGAGTCGGTAAGCTTAGATCGTTTGTATAATAAGTGCTGCAGTAGTCAAAAACGTCGGGCGGTTTCTAGTCGTTTCAGTTTGGTATGGGGGTTCCAAGTGAGTCGTTTGTCAAGGTGGAGTTCTAAGTATCAGATTTGTTCGACAGGGATAAGAGAGCTAAATATGAAATATAAATTATAAATAACAGCTCATTATAGAGAGGATAAAATGATGAACAATACCCTCGCTTACAGTATGTATTCCCGATTTTTAATTTCTGAGATATTTTAATTCATATCTTCAATAAAATTTATATAATTTGGTTTTCGAATCTATTTTCATCTTTATAACACGTAGTCGCGTTAAGATACAATTTTGAATAATAGCTCATTACAGAAAAGATGAATTGCTGAATATTTCCCTCGTTTACAGTATGCCGATTTTTATTTCTTGAGAAATTTTAATAAATATGTAAAAACATTTCAATCAGTCGATTCCGGCAGATTTAACTCGAGCACTTCGGAAATCTGACGGATCAAAGAAATTTTCAATTACAAAAATTTGATCGCCAATATACAAGGAATCGTCAATATATTAAGTTTTACTTATAAATAAATGATTCAAATCTATTGTTTAAGCGAATAATAATATTTTTATCAAGTTTAAAATACGGAGAAGACATTTAATAAGGTTTTACGCGATGTAATTATGGGTTGTACATAATTAAACTAAGATTATAATGTAAGTTGGATTTGGTCCCGGAATGTTAACTAACATATCGACCCACTAGGCGTCGCTACCATAGCTGATGTAACATAATATACAAAATGAATACTATCTCGGTTCCGCTTATGTTTAATATGAAATTTAATAATCAAGAGATCTCGCATAATAAACTTTAACCGTTCTCTCGGCTGAAGTTCATTAAGGGAAACGGTTTGGGAAAATAATTTAAACATTGTGTTGTGTAGAAAATATTTATAATATATATGTAAACAGAAATTAATATAAAACCTTAATATATTTTAATAATGTATTAGTATTATTATATTATGATTTTTTATTTCATCAAACTTTTTTTCACCGGATTTCTATTTTCATTAGTAATTTTTAAATATGAGATTGGAACCTAAATTACATCGATTCCCTTAGACTTTAGTTCGCGGTACAGAAAACTTTTAATCAAATTATCAACATCCATCGAAAATTTCATGAATAGCTTCTACTCGTAAACTACAACTAAAACTCAAAAATAAGTCGTTTTCTCATTATATTAATTTAAAATTTACTAGACATTTTGACAAAGAAATTAAAACAGTAAGATCTAAGACATACAGACTCCAAAATTTAATTGGAACAACAAACCTATCTTTAGGCCTAAAGCTTCTAGTCTACACAAGTATAATACGGCCGGCTTTGATGTATGGTGCACCTCTGTTCGAACATATCAGCAAAACAACTGAGAAAAGATTACAATATTTCCAAAATGGAATAATTTGAAAAATTGTAAGAGGAGCCACGCTGCAGAGAAAGAAGACAGTGGATATACAAGCAACACTCAACTTATCAACAACAAACGAATTTTTCGGAAAACGAAAAAAATCATTTTTCGAAAAATCCCAACAATTGGCAAACCCTCTTTTCAACAACTTATCACCAGCCCAAATTCCGAAACGTTGGCTACAAATCACTTAAAGATGTTTTATTAATTTAGTTGTAAGCTCTAGAGGATAAGGCCAACTCAAGCCTGAAGTGAGCCCCATCATCTTTATATTACAGATGAAGAACAAAATACTTAGAAACGACAATTCTAAAAATAAATCTTACAATGTTTTTAAGCAGTGAAAGGACTATTATTAAGAAAAACCAAGGATCAAAGACAAAAATAAGTAAAAGGGACTATGAAAAAAAAAAATAATAAAAATTAATTAATTTATAACTTGAAAAATTATTTATTAAAAATGACTTTTTCCATATATTTAATTCTCAAGCAACAAATCTATAGATAATTGTGTTCGTAACCAAAAGAATTAACTGAGTGAGTTAACTAAACTCGTACTATTCGCCATAAGTTTTTAAGTTATAATATTAGGAAAAATCCAAGTATAAAATCTTTGAAGTTCTTTGATTCTGAAGGCTACCAGAGTTAATTCTTTAAGTTTTTGAAAATTAGGTAAAGGGTGCCGAAAACTGGTACGCCAGGATATTTTTACATTTTTACGTTTTACTATAAAACAAAAACTAAGGTGAGTGATTTAGACTACACTTTAGATGTGAAAACATCAACAAGATTAATAATATGAAATATAAATTATAAATAACAGCTCATTACAGAGAGGATAAAATGCTGAACAATTTCCTCGCTTACAATGTGTATGCGAGGAAATTGTTGAAATCATTAGGATTTTGGCTACTGATGCCTGTGACAGAAATTTCCAATTTACAATGCACGATTACGGGTTCATATCCTGCTGTCAGAAAGAGGGTGAATTAGAGAATAAAGATGACTAAGTGAAAGAAAGAAAATCTGTTGTCCATATCACACAATCTTCACTATTTCCTCTACTTTTAACAGAAATTATTGTTTGACAATACTAAGCTATGGCAAAAAGTTTTTGATCAGCAATATTAGTGATTATATAAATTTTTGCACTGATCTACCGTAAGCCGGTTTACATTACTTTAGTTTATCAAATAAATCGTACTCAAATCTTATGGTTGATCAATTTTCAGGAAAATGAATCTGGTTCAATTCTTTTTTGTTTCTTCATGACCATATGTAAAGATATAAAAACTTTTCTGAAATAGGTAGGAAAGTCGTGTGAGTGAACACACCAGATATGTTTTAGATGTTGATGTCTACTATCAAGCTTTTAAATATTTCTCTCTACTTACGGGACACTCTCACAGGGGATATATATATATATATATATATATATATATATATATATATATATATTATATATACATTGGTATACTCACTTGGGTCGGCAGGACGATGAGCGCCACGCAGATCATGATGACCATGTAGAGCTGGGAGGGCCAGATATCGGGGACGAAGTCGCCATAGCCGACGGTGGAGAAGGTGACCACGACGTAGTAGGTGCTCTGGAAGAGGTTCAAGTGGCGATGACCGGCTCTCTGGAAGTGTTGGATACCGCACACGCTGGAACAGGCAAAATATTATTCTTAACTAATAAGTACTTGTGTAAGTCTTAAAAAGGAAATAATTTATTCATTATGATATGAAATAAAAATATATTTATTATTCTGGGCCAGTGTGGTCATAAATAAATTAAATATTTACAGTGATAGTTAATTAAAAGTAAAAATATAGAAGAAGAGGCAAAGAAAGATAAAAGAAGATCGTACATATATATAAGACAAACAAATGAAATTAAAATAACATAAATAGTCTCTGGGGGTACTTAGATAGTTCACTAAGGTATATTTTTTAATCAGTCTGCGTATCGAATATCAGCAGGATTCCATAGGAAGAAGGTTTGATTGGCAATGGATTCATCAAACACAGCAGTTCGGTGAGGAGGAGGATAGAGATCGGAAGTACGAGACCTAGTTGGATTGAATGGAATATTTAAATTGTAAGCTATGAAAAATATAGGAGGGAGTTCTAATGACCTGGTACAGAAAGGTAGCTAGGAAGTACTGATGGGGATAGGATGGATAGAGCCACAAATTGGCCTAATTCTGGGTAATATTCGTATCTCGTGAGATTTCGAAAACAAAACGTATTGCACTATTCAATAAACGTTTAAGTCTGGCTTCGAAATCTCCCGAAAGTCCACCTTACATCATGCAGCCAAAGTCAAAGTGGGAGGAAACAAGAGAGGAAACCAGCAGTTGACGGGACTTATAACATGATAAATAACATAATAATAGTAAAAAAAGATATAGTCGAAGGTTAGTGATAACAATACAAAATTTGGGGATGAAATATAAAAAATAGGAAAGTGAAAGTAAAAATGATTCGAATCAATGTTGATTTAGGGAGAACTGCTTTCTAGAACAATAGTCTTATCTTATCGGTTTACAAAAGATCGATTGAGATTATATTTGAACAAATCTTATCCTGAGTTACGAGGTATACCTTCTAAGCTATCGATAAGATTGTGCAATTAGATCGATGGTACAATATCGATTTTATCAATCTTTACCTTTTTGTTTTGTTTAGGTTTGTTTTTTTCCTTGATAAAATTATACTGAAAAACTAAATCATTGATTTTAAAATCTAGGTAATTATGTAAGCAATAGAAATGGCGATGAAGCTTTACTAACCCTACTTGCCAGACTTTTTTTGAAGTTAAATCTTCTTTAGGCGCTTTTTGCTCTTTTTTTGTGGATTAGAATTGAGCCGTCAGATCTTCGATGTGTAACGCCTGGGTAATGTCGAGTGGATGCGACTAATTGAAGTGTCTTTGCATATAGATTAAAATATCTCCGAAACTGAAAATCGGACCTGCATACTGTAAGCGAAGGATATGTTCAGCATTTCATCCTTTTTGTAAAATGTGATATTATTTATAATTTATATTTCATATTATTAATCTGACCTTGTTGAGAATTTAACTTCTATTGTGTGGATTAAACAGAAACCTTCGTTTTTTTTTTTTTAATAACTGAGACGGACTGATATTTTGCAACTGATCGATCCGAAATAGACAAAGAAGTTATAAGTTTCATCAGGTGATGAAAGACGTGGAAGCCAAAGCCCGTGATTAAGGAAGAAGTAAGAGGGGCATTAAAGATTGACCTCCAGCAGAGAACTGTAGGCAGGAATGTGCCTCTAGTTCTTGGCTGCCTGGAGGGTCTTCCAATATTAAACAGCCCACTCCTTGCAAATGGATCCCCTCAGCTGGTCCACGAATGGGAGGCCTTCTCGTCCTGGGGTCGATATAGCTCAATTCGCGGCGATGGTAAGGAAACTGAGCGGTCTTCAAGTTATCTTCACTATAAAAAGTCGTATAAGTGTCCTTCAGACAACTCTTCAGACATTCAAGAAGCAATTTCCTTCCGACACAGCGACATCTATTTCCCAACTTCCACAACAACAATGTCGGTAAAATAATCTTGTTGCGAACCCTGAGGATGTGTGTAAATGGATCATGTATCTCGCGGACAATAGTTGTTTCAAAACTTTTTGCCACCCGAACACCAACCAATAATACTTCAGGCCTCAGAAAATCTCCTGGACGGTTAAAACTGTACACACCTAGCAGTGAAGCAGAGCTTTCAAGTTATTTCAGATTTAAACACAGTTAAAATTTTTTATCTTATTTAATCTCGAACAATATTATTGTTTTAGGAAGAGATATATATTTACTATGTTTCACATCTCATTTACTTTATTTCCTACTCATTTCTTCGCTTTATTTATATTTATATTTTGAGTTCTACCAATGGGTAGTTTTTCTTCATATTGTACATGTCATGTTACCAATTTCACATTTACTTATTGTATTTTCTATGTAATACAGTTGTAAATTCCATTAAAATAATAATTAAAAAAATTATATTTATTGATATCACATTTCATTTTTTCATTATTTTAAGGCTCGCTAATTTGGAATAACTTTTTATTTACTTTCTTATACTTTTTTTTTTACTAGCCTGTAATTCTAAATAATATAAATTATAAACAGGATTAAATACTGAAAATTTCCCTTGCTTACAGTATGCAGGTCCGATTTTTTAGTAACTGTGCTATTTTAATCAATATCTTCCATAAAACTCCTTATCATTTGGTTTGCGACACTCTTTTTCCCTTTTCGCTTCTCTAACACCACGTCGCATTAAGATAAAATTTTCAATAAAAGATAATTACTAACATGATGAAATGCTGAACATTTCGCTAGCTTACAGTATGTAGGTCCGAAATTAAGTTTCTGAGATATTTTATTGCATTTCAATAAAACTCGTTATCATTTGGTTTTCAAATCTATTTTCTCCTTTGATCAGTGCCTTCAACATTTCGCAGCCACTATATTGTTAACAATTATTTATATTAATTTTAATTATTAAATGAAATTGATACTAAGTAATTTCTATACTGTTCTCCAAATTTCTTCCAAGTTTGGGTCAAATCGAATGCGCCATTTTCAAACTATAAGCATATCAAATAACACATTTCCTGATCTGAAAGCGGGAGTATTTTTTTCGGAGTATTAGATAGAATTACCAATCCCTAAATTCCCTCAAGATTTGAGCTAAATCGAACTTGCGGTTTTAGAGATATAGAAGTATCAAGGAAAACACGTTTGCGCATTTATAAGAGAAAGCAACATACAGAATTCAATGAAATTGGCCCTACATTTTTTTTTTTACAAATACCTATCTTTTATCCAATTTTGAGCCAAATCGAACTAACCATTTCCGAAATATTGGCATATCTACAAAAATTTTTATGGAACTATCTAGACCCCAATCAGTACAATTTCTGAAAATTACATGAAAATTGGATAAATGGTGGTAGGTGATATGCCCGTCACATCGAGTTGACTACAGATAGACAGTCAGACAGACATCTAACCAAATTTGATCATTGATGTCTGAAACGTACTACGCGAGTGGAAATTTTCGATTCTGTGCTTATAATTTTTGTTATCCTCTCGCACGAATACAATGCTTATAATACTACCGAAGGTAGGGAACAATATAAAAGTAATATATACAGTGATAAATTCCATATTTTTATATCAAGATCCAGTGTTAAATTAAAATTAAATTTTTGGACTAAGTATTTCCTATATTTTAAGACTTGTACTGTATATTTATAAAGTGAGAACCAATTTATATCTTTAAGGAGCTCTATAATTTCCTCTCGTGAGATATTGGTTTTCGAAACCTGTTGAAATCCTTATATCTCCTAGGATCGGACAAAAGGCAAGGAAATGGTAGGTGTCTTCATGGGTATTCATATTACATAGAGAACACCTATAAATTGGTGGAATTGTTTTACAGGTAAATATCAGATGACTAATTTAGAAGTTTTATTTTATGAATAAATCGTTCTAATAATTTACAAAAGTAGAAAGTAAATTTTCCAAATTGAAATTACAACTTTATCTCAAACAGCGATTTTTAGAATTTAATCAAAGTTAGAAACAGTTCCCCAGAAAAACTGAAATGTTTAACTTCAGCTGTTTTTCACTGAGGCTACAGATATCAGTTTTTTTTTTTCAATTACTTCGTTTACTCGACCTCCCAAGTTTCTATTTATTAGAAATATCTGAACTTTATTCAATTAAATACTTTTTACCAAAGAATTTGTGTAGTTAAAAAAAATTATTATTAGATTTTTGTTTTTTAAATATAGAGTAGAAGTAGTTAAAAATGAATGGAAATGGTTATATGGTTTCAGGCCAACAATTACTTTACAGACTCTTACCTTTTTACTTTCACTTACCTATTTATGTAATAGTATTGCAATAGGGAAAGTATTACGATTGTGAAATTTTTCGAATCTGAGTTTTCAACGGTAAATCTTGGATATGACAGAAACTTTTTCGTTAAAATCGACTAAATTGGCTGATATTTTTGTTCTTCATTATCATTCTTAAGCTCGAATATTTCTGCCACGCCATAGCTGTCCTTGTTTGAATATCTGTTGATGCCTATCTTTAAAAGAAATCCTTTGTCCTATGTGATTTCGTCTACTATGCTTATTTCTATGGTTCCTCAACAAGCGCCATGAGAAAAAAATTCAAACATGCCAAAGAGCAATGGAGAGTAAAAAAATGTAAATATTAAATTGTACTGTAATACAAACAAATTAAGATAATGTCAAAACAGAGTTATCTTAAAATGAAAAACAAAGGGCCATATTTTAACAGCATTATAACTTTTAAAGATTTACTATTAAAACTAAAGGTTTATTTATATCAAAAATCATATTATTAAAAAAAAAGTTGCTGTCACATCTAAGGCATATAACTATCTTAAATACGTAATATCAGTTTCGTACGACTTTTTGAGTTTCGTTTTTGAGCTAGACTGCTAACATTAAGTAGGTGTTGTTAATATTTATATATGCTAGGATTTAAGACATGTGACTAATACTGAAAATGTTAATATCATTAAAAATGAAACAAACATTTTTCCTCTATATTTATTTATTTCGCTCGATCCATCATTTTATCTTTAAAAAAT